CGTAGATGCATCAGTCAATTCAGAAGTAACTCAACACTGAACTTCAATGTGCAAAAGGGACTTCGATCTTAGAAACCTAACTTAAGGACAGGCAAAGCAAAGGAACAAGATGTAGCAGGAGGCACATGCTGACAGGATCAGCTTCTCCTCCCTGTTTGCTATTTGCCTGTGCAATCCCTTTCTGCACAGCAGCAAATGCAGGTTAGGTACTGTTCCTCCTCAGCTTGCTGGGAATTTCTGTATTGGCTTCACGGCAAATAGCAACAATGCTTCAAGCAACAAGTTGTGCCTGCAACTTAAACGGTGTACCTTGAGAATGTATGTTAGGTTTTATTCAGGTAAAGGCTGGAGTGATTTTTGCTGGTGTTTTTCAAGCAACACATGACCTCTGAGGAGAAATTTAAAAAACTCACTGATTTACCATGTTAAAAAAAGATGGCACATTTATTGCTACATAAATGTTATATACATAGTGTTTTCTGTTACATTGACAGAAATTTTTTTGAACTTCTTGCTGCTGGTTGGAAAGGTTTATCAGCAATACCTTGAAATTTGACACAGGGTACAAATCTGCAATAAACCAACAATGGAAACTGGAGAACAAGATGAGAAGCAATTCATCTCGGACAATTAGCTCTTACAATACTCCATAGGTACTACACGGTATGCTAGAACCCTACTATGGTCTTACAATGCTATTGTAAATTTCTGATATTAATGAACAGGTTATGGTAAATAACCCTACATTTTTACTACCTAATATAGTAAAATAAAGTAAGAAACTTTTTACTGAAAACTTTTTTGATTTCAAAAATCTAGAAAGAGTAATATTTAGAATTCAAGAAATTTTCTTACAAGATTATTGTATAAAAGACTAGCTACAGTGAAAAATAAGCCAAATGTTTTTTTCTTTCTATTTTATGAAGGAAAGCTTCTGGGCATACTGCAAAGTCTAATATAGCCAAAAAGACAACAAGCTTAGAAGGAAAAAGGCCAGGCAGTGGCACGTGATCACTTTCACACGTCATAAGCAACAAATTTGTTTAGCTGATAAACACTGAAATGAAGAACAAGGCCACAGATATAATCAGGTGTTATTTGATGATATATGCAAATTAAAGTAATAGAAATGAGTCCACTAATTCCACAAACTGTTTTGTTAGGAACCATCCAAAACATGAGCTTAAATTCATTAGTTTATTTTAACAATCCATCTTTTGTTCTTCCAAATGAAATGACTTCATAAAAATTACTGGTTTGTTCCTGTTTTGTGTGTGAACCAATTGCCAGTGATGAAAGATGCACTATATAAACAATAGCTCAGACAACCTTGGCTGAGGAAATTTCCTCCCATGGTCATTGCAGTGGAAGACAGTTTCCATGGAAGTTCAAAAGGATTTTAACCATTTCAACACATCTGTGACAAAGGAATACTTATGGACACTGTTCTGGTAGAGAAACATTGAAAGGTTTAATGCTAATATGGCTTGGGAGGGGGCATTAGTTTGCATTTGATTCACACTATTTTTTTTTTTCTCCACTGACAAGCCATACAAAGATGACAAGATAATTAATGTATACAGTAAGAAAAAACTGGTGACCATTGCTCTTATACTCCATTATGTAAGGAAGCCCACCTTACTGGTGGCTATATCATCACACTACCTGCCATGGTGAATTTAGGATTTTACTATTCACCAAAATTACAGCCTGAAAAAAATCTCCTTTGTATTTTAATGCATTTTGTGCTTACGTACAGCTAACACTTTACATGTACTATATGTAGTACTTACTGCTCGGAAAACAAAGCAACTCTAACAAAGTAGATTCTCCCCACCCAATTTACACTTCACGTTACAAGCTTTACTATGAAGCCTAGAAGCCTAAAAAGGTTTTGTTTATAATTAGAAAAAAAAAAAAGTTTGAGGAAAGTCTGAGGGAAAATAAAAATCACTTCTTAAATCCAAGAGATGTTATGGTCACAGTATTGCTCCTGCCTGCAGCCTTCACGAGGGCTCTTCCCGGCTTGAAGCATGGAGCTCAGTATGGAAGGGTACCTATGACCATAACTGTTCAGGTTACCAGAGACCAAAAATAACATAAAAAAAGCTATACCAAAGAATAGTTTCCTATTGCATGGAAAACACTAGTCATATGGCAAAAGGAGAGGAAAGGACAACAAAAGACTTTTCCCTTCCTTTTTTAAGACACTAATAGGTATGCTGGGAATGCTACGGGTCGACGGTTGTCACTGCTTTGTTCTCTGAATGTGAACAGCTTTAGTAAATGCTGGCATCCAGCTGAAGTTTTATCAGCTTTTAACATGTTAACTTTTCCCTTTATATGTAGACCTTTACAGTTCCATAACAATAAATAAAATTTGTAGTTACAATGCATTTGTCAATTCAGTTTAGGCACAAGGCAACTTCCACAATGAGTGGAGAGATCACAACAGTCTCTGATTGTGCAGAAGCGACACACTGCTTGCAACAGAATGATATGTTCAGAGCATTTCATGGGCTGAAATTCAATCTGAAGATCTTGTATCTTCAATCCTGATGCAGGTGTTGACCAGTAGCTTTGATCATAAGATTGCATTTGGGTTTCTTTGCTTCAAGTGTTTTCTCCTGTCAGGTTTGTGTCTTCATATAATGTTAGTTGTCTGTGTCCTTGTGAAGAAAGGTCACCTTCTGTGTATCCTGCCAATAGTTCTGGAATTCTGGAAAGAAATTTGGGAGAAGAGAAGGGGGTATTAGGAAAAGAATCAGTAAGAAGCATAATACCAACACTAGAGAACTAATTTAAACTGTGTCTTACGGCTTTTTCAGTCAGTTAAGTGCAAAAGAAAGTGACACGGAGAGGCCTTGAAATACCTTCTTCCCAGAGATACCCATACTGAAGAAGATGGCTGAACAGTTTAGTATCAGGAACATTCTATTAGGACTCTCTGGATATGGGAGCAGGAATAATCTGCAAATCTCAGACCTTTGATTTGTGTTTGACTTTGTTCTCTAAGAAGCAGGAGATGGTACCTAGCTTGATCTCTGCTGTTGAAGGTACGCATTGCCATATACCTAATGAGCCTATACAGACTTTTCACATCAATGTCACACTTCAGTCATCTCACAAAGTTATTACTATTAAAAAAGCAAAGATATAGTAAACTTTTGACAGTGGCTTATCATATTAATATGGCAAGAACAGACTGTAATGTCTGCTGTAAATCAAGAATTATCTGACAACCTAGCAGTAGCCTATTGCTCTGGTATGAAACAAAACACATTCAAGAAATTCAAAGGACTTTGTTTTCCTAAAAAGAAAAGCCATTTTGTTTATGAAGATAGAAGCTGCCTTTACAGGATGGGGAAAAAAGTACTGACTCGAGTAAGGTTTGCTTTAAATGCCATTTTGCTGCTTTCTAAGGAACACTGGGGAATAATAAACATCCATGGGATACATTCTGGCAAGATGCATGCCTTTACCTTAAGATAAAATAGAAACAAAACAGTCTAGGCACACAACAACAAACCTCCCAAAACGTGAAATTTCGTAAAGTTGCCGATAAAAGTCAGGGCATTGAACTCTCTTTGAAAGTGGCAACAGTTCTGCTGTTTTGAAAGACATGGAATACCCAGAATTTTTTCTTCTCAAAATCAAGTTTTCCCTAATTATTTAAAAAACCCAATGAACAAACAACATGTAATAAACCCAGAAGACTAAAATTCCTGTAAGGCTTCCCCATCAGCACGTCTTAAATGAACTATCGTGTATTGGACTAGATGGGGCTTTTGGAAACACCAGTTTATCTTGCAAAGCTGAAAACATTACTTTTAAAATCTTAACTATCTTCACTAATACAGATTGTGAATTAAGATAGTTAGCAATGATGTGAGTTAGAATGCCTGGCCTTATGCTAGAGAGCAAAACTCTTTGAGATGAGAAGTCTTTCTAACTGTTTGTATCAGCACTAGGAAACAATGCATGGATTTTTAAATGAACTAATGTGATACTTAGACCATTTAAAGATGTGTAATTCATCTCTATTATGCTTGGCTTGTCTAGCGAGCTGTTAACCGTTTCTCTAATGTCATGCCAAGAAGGCCACCTGAGCCAAGAGATGCAGCCATGGGCAACAAGGCATGGAAATGAAGAGACCTAAATGACAATTTCTTGGGGGGTTGTTTTATAAACTAAACAAATTGGCATGCTTTCGCTTATGCTCAGAGATACGGAAGTACTTAGAGCATGAAGAAGTTCAGTGCTAGTGGCAGCTCAGTAACTAAGACTAAACAGATGTACATGTCCCAAATTTTAGCCAATAAAAAGAAAGAAGAGCCATTCCCCTCTAGACAAGACACATACCTGGCTGGTGTTCACATATGACCCATAGGGTTGGTAGTTTCACTCAGACCAGGGTGGCTTCCTGGGTGTGGTGTTGGCGGCTCTGCCGATACGGCAGAAACTTTTTCTTCTTCCCTTCTCTTAAGGCAGGCTGCTTTAGGGTTTAGGTTTCGTTCTGTAACAGAAAAATTATTCTTAACATCCCATACGCTGGTAACCAAGGGGAGTATCGACACATTGACCACTGTAGTAAAAATAGCTATGCAGCTTCCCTCTTCTAACTACTTATGCCGCTGTGTTAAAATGCAGGTGTACAAAGGTGCAGACAAGCACTACTGAAAAGCTTACCAGGCATCTTCTAAACTGGTATTTAAAAAAAACAAAAACACAAAAAACTGAAACAGCAACAACAAAACAAACAATCAAAAAAAACAAACTCCCAAACTTTACTATCTGCCTACATACATACACCTTCAAAAACTTTAAAGTGCCTCCCTAGTCACCAGAGGTTGCTGAAGTGCAAAATGAGAACTGTCTATTATTTACTACGTAATAAAACAGAGATTTCTGTGTTTCGTCGGTATGCTGAAGTCATACCAACCCTACTGACATCACACTAGTTTTAGGAATGCTACTGCTGCTTTCTTCACCTTAAGTATTAGCCTGCTGTTAGAACAGGTAGGAGGTAGAATGTTCTAAGTCAATTGTTCTTTTCACAACCTCAAGTCTGTGAACTCATCTTGTGCCCATCTCGCTTAAATCAAAACAGTATGATGACAGCCACACAGAGCAGATGGATTTTTTTTTTTTAAACCACACTTCTTCTCACATTACAGTCAGTACTTTATAATAGCTAGTTGTGGACCAGCTATCAAGATACCTCCATCAATATGTTTCCACTTCCCCAATTAGCTTCAATAAATGTCAATTTGGATCTAGTTTTTAAATGATGACAGTTCCTAAAAGTCAACTGTTTCTGTTCTTCAAAACAGCTTTTAACGAATCAGAATAGAAATAATGTAAATTGCAATGGCCAAAAATACAGGCAAGAAGTGTGTAATATATTCTACCAACGCATGTTGAATTTAATCAACATTTTGAGGTATTTTTCTAGCTGTCAGTGAATTCTGTTTTGCAGTTTAAGATTGCAGATAACATTTTAACTGTAAGGAGACTGCCAAAACTGAACAGACAGCACAAGCCCCTCTCTTGCACCGCACAGGCGCCCCTCTAGTAATTGTAGTTTGCTGGCATTTTACAAGGGGTAGGATCTAGCTAATCCGGCAGAGGCAATTTTGGACGGACTTTATAATTCTGCTTTCACCCAAGTCATTATCAACAGCCTCCTACTGCATTTCCTAAGGATGACCGCTCCCAAAGAGTCTAACAGAAAAAAAACTGCTAACTTTTCTTATCACAGTTTTCTTTGTTTAACTGTGGCTTGCCTTGAAGTTTTAAAGAAGATTTAATTACGTGGAAACTTTGAAAGGAAGTTTATTTACAGTGATTTAGGAAATGGAGATAAAAATGCTAGCCTACAGTTCGAGCTTAAAATCTGCAATGTTTCATTTTGAATAGTACCAATCACAAAATGAGAAGCTTCATGACCAGCAGAGAGAGGGAATTGTTTATGCAATTAGGTAATGCACTGGTGAGAGCTCCTCTGGCCGCCCCTCAAAGCTCCGGTCACTCACTTTCAGGAACAGGCGCAAAGACAGACAGGCGAGATAGAATGGGGAACACAGCCTCTCTCCCAAGAGGCATGGTGTGCTTGGGATAGGCTTCCTCAAATGCACAGAGAACAGAAGGGGAGATGTAAATGTGAGGCAGGAAAAGCTCTCAATTTACACTGCCTGTAGAATAGGTCCAATTCAACTGTTAAGTACATTTAGAAAAAGACTTCTACCACAGACAGAAGCTTCGGAAGCAACCTCTGACCAAGGCAAAAGTGGTTTTATTCATTTTCACGCAGAGCTTTCTGTGGATTACAGATTCTGTGACAGCAGGGACATGGACTTGATGGTTTTTAAACATTAAAAAACACGCTTGATTAATGTTAATCTGACGACTTCATCATATTCAACCTTATCTTCCAGATTACGGCAAACATTTTCAGACCAAAACAATTCCCAAGAACAAGGTCTCAGAGGTGCTAAAAGGGCTTTACCACAGCACTAGTTGGTAGCATCTCATCTGCACAGTAACTAGTTGCTCTCTATGCTGTGGAAGGGCTCTGACTGGAGACCATGCCTGCCTGTATTAAAAACTGAGTTAATAAAACTCTGCCTGAAAACACAGTATCTCATCCCTACTCTGAGGTGCATAAGCTTGTGTTATTAATTTTGTCACTTTCAATAAACTTTGAACAATTGCTTTGATCTCTTGGGGCAAATGCAAGCAACAAATTAGGAAATGGAAGTAAAAACAAGGTGCACAAAAATAAAACATTGACATCATTCAGCGGCATCAGTGATTCAAGGATGTAGCACGTTAAGCCAGTATGACCACTGACACCATCCACATCTGAAGACTTTCCAGTCACTTGATGTACTTCCATCAGTGAGACACCAAGGAAGACGGTTATTCACCGGTCCAAAAGAGCAAAGCATGAGGACGCTCACCCATTTCAGTGCCAGCTACACAGAACGGAATAGAACAGAACAGGCTGTTTCAGTTGGAAGGGACCCTCAATGATCATCTAGTCCAACTGCCTGATCAGTTCAGGGCTGACCAAAAGGTAAAGCAAGGTTGCCGCAGAACTTTAACATGTCTTTGACACAAGTTTAAAGGGAGACTAAAGTCAACTGTAGCTTCACCAACACAGGAGACTAGAACAGTTGAAGAACTAAACATGGTTCCTACAGCTATCTTTCCTTAAGAGTGAACTGCACAAAGAATTCTTCCTTCTGCACCTACCAACAGGCCTATTATTTGTTTCCTGGAAAAAATTTAAAGGAATCAGGGGAAGAAAATACATGCAAAAGCAGCCCTGATTCAACTAAAATAGAAATAGGTTTCCTTCCTCCTCCCCAGTATAAGATTAATGCAAAACCCTAAGTAAACACAGTTAGAGTCACTGCATTTTAATATTTCAGTTACGGGGGTTCATCTTAGAATACATCTCTTACATGTCAATATTTTAATAATCAATTTACCTTGAAAAAACAGGTGAAAAGATGGTTAATTGCACAGGGGGGAAAAAAAGAAAGATCAAAGTATAAACCTAACACCACCCCTTTATTGTTTTTCTTTTAAAAGGCAATTCTTTGCTTTTCCTAAAGAACTTCAACATCATTACACAACAGCAAATATTTAGTAAACTTGTGCATCTAGTCATGCGGATTTCTAGAGACCGACACTGTTCCATGAGAAAAACTACACTGCAAACTGCCACAGCACAACGATAGGCTACTAACCTCTCACTTGCTGCTCTAGACTGAGGATGACTGCCACAGCCTGGTGAAGAATAAGCAGTTTCGTCTGTGGTTTTTCACTCTTCAGGTGAAGCTGACACATACGGCCAAGTTCTTTAAATGCCTCATTAATATCTCGTACGCGCAAACGTTCTCTAGCGTTATTTGCCATTCTCCTCTCCTTTTCTCTTTCTATTTTCTGCTCTGGGTTTAAATCCTCATCTTCATTAGTACTGCTGCAAGAAAGTATAAATAAGAGTATATTGAAATATCACTGACGTTTCAAAGAAGCGATCCTGCTGCTGGTTCGAAATCTTCAGTTCATGAAATTAAACTTCTTCACATTTAATCTACTTCATATTGAAGTATATCTGAACAACTAAGGAAGTGTTAGATACCAATGCTTAACTGTTCAAGGTAATTCCTGCTGTTCTTGCCTTTTCCTGAAAATAAATACTAAATGGTTTCTGCCTGAAGAATATCCACAGAGTATCGTCTACAGATGGCAAACACCTCTAGGAAGAGCAGTGGCAATGCACTGCCCCTTGAAGGAAAAGATGTGCCCAAACTACCCCTTCACTCAAATCACTGACGAATGTTCAAATAGTGAAGAGAGAACTCAGCCACCTTGTCAGGTGAAGAATAAATCATTTTCAACAGATAGTTTTTGTTAGTTTCCAATATATCAGCTTATGTAAAAAGGCATTCAAGTAATTTTCAATTTAACGTGCCTATTAAAAACTTCTAGTTTTGTTAGACACCTTCGTGGCCAATTTTAGAAATATTTTTTCTTCTAATACCCAGTGTAGGGCTAACCAGTTATATTTAGAATTCTTGTATCACTTCACATGACTATATTAAATTGCATACCCTTTTTTTTTTTAATACAGGACTGTCCAACTAAGTCTAAAACTGTGCAAAACCTCTGCTCTACTAAAACAAACACACTAAAATGCCGTTAGACACATGTGATGGTATAGACTCCGCTGCCTGCAGTTGCAAAGTTCTGTTTACTGTTGTCTCAAATATCACTGTTTGGGTCAGGCCTATCGGGCAGATCCAGAAGCATTTTACCAGTGTCAACTCCAGGTTTTTTATCTGTGGCCTGCGAGGGGGAAAAGTGTTTAAAAAGAGTATTTACCGATCGTATTCACCCCGGCCTCTGGGTTATCAGGCTCTCCATCACTACTGGCTCACATTTAGAAGCGCAGCCCTGGCCCAGAAACAAAGTATAACAAATCTCTAACATTCTCCCATCCTCTGTGCTGGGCAGGGCCCTCAAAATCTTTTACTATTTATTTGTACAGGCAGATATTTTCAGGTGATTGTCCCAGAACATCCTCTATCTTGCATGTGAATAGATACAAATACTGTAAACTATCTATTTCAGCTGCCTATTAATACATGCACTGAGGTAACACAAAAGCATTGAAATAAATTTATCAAACTTAAGGAAAACATGCTACAGAGCATTAATGAAGCACAAATTCTCTAGGTCACATCAGCAACCCACCTTGTTCTGCCTCTAGATGAGACCTTGATATCCTTCTGGGAGGACTCATCATCTGATTTCATGTCATCCGATGAGGGGGGTTCATGTATATTTTCATCCTTCTCCTTATGTTCAGACTTGATTTCTGTTGGACCTATAGCCACAGACTGGCTCTGTAAGCCACCTGGCAATGCTGCAAGCAACCAGAGATCAGTATGAGCATTATGGGAGTGAAATACTTCAGACAATCTCAAGCAGATACTGTCGATGGAAGGTCAGAGCCTAGCAGAAGTCTGGGAAGACAACAGGAAGAACTACCACTCTGGCAAGAGAAACCCTGGTAAAACTGCTGTACCTGGGTCCAGCTCTGGAGCCCTCAGCACGGGAAAGACACAGACCTGTTGGAGCGGGTCCAGAGGAGGCCGCAGAACTGATCGGAGGGATGGAACCCCTCTCCTATGAGAACAGGCTGAAAGAGTTAAGGTTGTTCAGCCTGGAGAAGAGAAGGCTCCAGGGAGACCTTATTGCAGCCTCCAGTACTTACAGGGGGCTTACGAGCAAGATGGGGACAGACTTTTTAGCAGGGCCTGTAGCAACAGGACAAGGAGTAATGGCTTTAAACTAAAAGAAAGCAGATTTCATCTAGACAGAAGGAAAAAATTTTTCACAATGAGGGTGGAAACGCTGGCACAGGTTGCCCAGGGAGGTGGTTGATGCCCCATCCCTGGGGTTTCCATCCCTGGAAACATTCAAGGTCAGGTTGGACGGGGCTCTGAGCAACCTGGTCAAGATGTCACTGCTCACTGCAGAGGGCTGGATTAGATGACCTTTAAAGGTCCCTTCCAACCCAAAGATTCTATGTGTCATGGGTTGTAAAGGGATCATAATTCATAGAGCAGCTTGATCAGTAACAGCTTAATCTAAGAAAGACACTGTTAAAGACAAAAGGACATTTAGCAAAGTAAGGAAATTTGCACCTCACGTCCACGCTGCAAACCTGAGGGCAGAGCTGCTCTAACATTGAGGCTTGGGCTTAGGCCAAATGTGCAACACACACATCCCTAAATGGTGCAAGCATGCTAACAAGTAAGCTGACTTCTGTCTTCTACAGCTTGCTGCTTTAAGCTAAAACTTGAAGGAACTGTAAACACTTGTGTGGAACAACTTCCTTTTATTGGCTAGGCCAAAATCTGGCCTCAGCTCACTCTGCAACCCTCCCGGCTGATTCGGAAACAGCTGCAGTACTGCAAATGGCATTAAGGCTCCTTAAGCCGAAACAATGTGGCTGTAACGCAGAGTCTTCTGCTGAAACTATATTGGGACAAGTCTGACACAGGGATGCCCTCAAAATTGTTGCAGGAATCCTTAAAGTGGTGGTTTACAGGGTTTATAATGAATTTTTATTTCTCAACACTATCTGTGTCCCTGTCCCAGGGTTGATCCAAGTTTACCAGACTTACAGCCTCCCTGGCTCTGGATTATTGCAGACCCTGTTCAACATTTCAATTGCTGGAAAGTTACCTCTGTAGCTTTCTTGTGTTTTATGATTTAGTTCTGTGCTCTGAGCAGAAACTGTACTGGGAAGAACTGAATGGTTGCTGTTGAGGCTGACACTTTCTTCCCGATGAGTCCCAACCTAAAGCAAAGCAAAGCAAAGATTCCTATTAAAGATGTGATTCAAAGAAACAGTCCAAAAATAGAATTTTAAAAGACTTAAAGTATTTGCTGGATTAGAGACCCGAGTTAAAGTTCTAGCTCAGTAAAGATTTAGTCGAAAGATGCTGTTGCACTAAACCACTTGATTACACCATACCGGATTAAGCTGTGTTTCATGTAGCGACCAACACCTGTTTGGAGTAACAAAGCAACCTATCAAAAGGGTTTTTAGTATTTTCACACAGAACAGTAAAGAATTTTCTCTTTGATTTATACCTGAGGGGTATGAGACTTGATTAACCTTCGATTGCTTTAAACAAATAAAACTGAATTTCAGCTCTAGTACTTATAACATTTTGATCCTTAAAAGAAAAATGTAGGGAATAATGGTCTTCACCACGTGTGAAAGGTGTGTATACTGCCCCACACTCACATATACAGATATACACACACATATATTTATGAAACATAAATAACATCTTCTCACTTCTTGTTTGCTGAAACAGGATTAAGAACTGGATCTAATATCAAAATACTATTTTATTCACTTTAGTAATTCTCTCTCATTGTCCTCCTTTCTCAACTAAATACATTTAGTCCCATTACAGAACCTTATCATACAAAAATAATCCAGGCATCTAACTATTCTTACCACCTCTCTCTGTATTTCCTCATCTGCTCCTTCATAATACATCACGATTACATTTCTAAGCAGCAAGCACTGAGATGAAAAGTCTTTTAAAAAATTCTAATTTTGCATAAGCTTGAATTAACAATTCTTATGTAAGACAGCTATGAGTGCGCATACCTAGCTTGAAGAGGCAAATTCGTTAAGAACCTGCTGCTCAATACAGACTATGGTTATCAATGCAAACCTCTATTAAAAAAAAAGGCTTTTGTTTGAAAAAGGAAGATGTAAAGACACACTGCCTGTATTTAAATAATTTGGAACACTGACCATTTAAAGCTTTTGATTCCTAAAGACACAAAAGTCCTTTAGATATTTATAATGTAACCAATACAATACAATACAATTAAACAGTTTAAAAAGTGAACGAAGATGAGGGATTCTACTATTATTTGTATAGTTACAAAAATTGGCTACAGATGAAGCTTTTTATTGGAACAGTAGCAAACACGTCAACTAGAAGATTAAGCCTTTAATTAAATAGGTTTATTGCCTGGAGTTACACATGAGAACCACTGTTTTTCAATAAATCCTTCAATCCTAGTAAACTGCTGAGCTTTGAATCCCTCTTGAGTAATTAATGCAGCTTTTACCTTTCATGTCTTAGTATGGGTTTTACCCAGAGAGAGATAAATACCCTTATGCAAGTTTATCCTTTGTTTAATATACACTTGTTCCTGTAAGCTAACGCACAGGAACAAGAAAGGAAAGGGGGGAAACCCCCCCGACAGCCCACAACTAGTATCAGGTCATTCCGGGCTGGTAGTTGTATCTATTGTTCGGCAGAAAATCTCCTCCTGTATATGGCGGAATATCTGTTGCTATTTTAAGTATATTTTATCTTCCTTTGTGTGTAATAGGCTTTGTTTGTGAGAAGTTCTACTGCGGATACAGTCATCTCAGCTCTTGGGGAGTGTCTTGAATTCACTGGAATAAGGAGCAAGGCCCAGGTCTTTCAATCCAAGAGACAAAACTCTTTACAACAGGAACGCAAAACTCATTCTCCACACTGAGCTTCCAAAAACGAGACTTTCCCTAATTCTGCCCTGCAGGTTGTGTGTTTTGTTTTATTCTTCTGGTCATGCTTAGTCCTAACACATGAGGGTGCTTTTATTCAAGCGACGGACTATTAATAACTTCAGGGCCAGGTTTGTTCCAAAATCTGCTTCTTAAAAAAGGCAAAAATTTCTTAAAGCTGTGTACAAATGTAGCAGCTGCCAGAACCCTGGCAACTTTTGAATCTAGAGCTAATCTAAAAGTGACAGATTAGCAAATCAGTTCTAATAAAGACAGAAAATGGATTAGAAATAAAACCTGAATTTAAGTCCATGTTCCAGTCCTTTGAAACAGGCTTACAAATTCAAAGCACACAATACAGATTAACAAGGCTTATACAGGAATCTTAAGAGCTCAAGTGTTACCAAACTGACCACAATATGAATTTTTATCTCTATGATGTACTAGAAAGTCCAAACAGGCAAACAAAAAAGCTCCCAAACCAAAAGACTTGCCGGAAGTCACAGTATCCCCTATGAAGGCCAAGAGCTCTGTTTCTTGTAAGCACAACTTATCTGCGACAGCTTCAAGGTACCAAACTGGATCTTTAGCGTCTTAAACGTTGAGCTTAGAACATTTAGTTTGTTTTTCTTTCCCCAGCCTCCCACCGCACGGGAAGAGGCTCTCTCCATCTGCATTTCAACGGAGCACAATGGTTGGGCTTCCTTTACGCCTTCTGAAGGACATTTGATACCACCAGCTCCGACGCCTTCAGAACAAGAAAGCTTGTTTTATTGCTAGTATTTCTAAGCAACGCTCCGCCAAATGACCTCCTCGCTCTAAGGCTGACTGGGGCAGTGCGTGTCCAGCCCCCGGGGCAGAGACCTCCCTGCGGCCCCGCAGCCTCTCCGGGCACTCCTCGCTACCCCGCTGCTCGGAACCTCCGCCTTACAAACGCTGGTGTGAAACGGCGGCAGGGCGCTCGCAGGAGCGGCCCCGCAGGCCGCCCGGCGCGGG